CCCAGTGCTGGGGTCAGTACACGGGATAATGGACTGTTACGGTCCCCTCTGGGATGGGAGGAGGTGAAGGGCCCAGTGCTGGGGTCAGTACACGGAAGGTTACAGTCTCCTCTGGGGGAACATCCTGAGATCAGAGCACCCCAGACAAGGCTGAAGGGACAGGGCAAGGCAGGTTGGGGGTCAGGGAGACTGCCTGCGAGGACCCCTGGGATGACGGAGCCATCTTGGCTGAGTGCAGTCTGGGTCAGGAAGGCTGGCGGGATGGGCCAGGGCCCCCTGTGGGTGTCAGCTCAGCAGAGGCTGGGCAGATGAGAAGTTACCCTGGGCTGAGTGTTCACTGGCCTCTATGGTCATTCGCTGGGGAGGGCCGCTTGCTACAGCCCAACAACAATGACACTCCCCACACAATTGTATTTCTTCAAAGAGAGAAAAGGACACAAGAGCCAAGGGCGGCAACCTTGAACTTGAAAGGTCCTGCCAGAACCTGGATAATCTCCAAGTTCCAAGACCCAAGACCTTGACCACCAACTGGCCATTGTCCAGGAAGCAGGGGCTGGCGGCTGACCTCACGTACCTTTGTCCACTTGTTTGTGATGCCATGGGGCCTGGGTGTCGTGGTGGGGCCGGCCCCCGGGGGACACTGAGGACTAGGGGTGACTTGGAGTTGGAATAGCTGAGGAAATGGGGCCGTGACCGGATTGTGCACAGAGACGTCCCCACGTCACATGGACGTGAGCACAAAGCATTCGCTCTTGTCGCCAGCTCTCAAGGGGAAGCAGTGGGGACCCGGGTTGGGGGCATGGACCCCAAGTCCAGGTGCTGCCCACTTGTTGCCCTCTGGTCCCAGACCCCCAACACCCTACTCTCTGTGCCCACGCTGCAGATGAAGGCCTACAGAAGGAAGGGGAACATGGTGTCCACACAGGTCAGGGTGAAATGTGGCCAGTTCCCCGTGTCCTGTGGAGGGTCCTGGAGTCAGTTCTGACCCAGCAATCCTACATGCAACAGAGGTGCCACTTGGCCACCCCTCACGGCCAGCCACTACCTGAGGGGCTTCTTGTCTGCTGGTGCAAAGGGCCCCAGCACAGCAGCTGCACATCAGGGGAGACGAGGCCGGTGCTCGCTCCACGCAGCCATGCTAGGCGCTCAGAACCACGGCTGACCCCCCGCTGGCCTCGTGCGGCTGCCCTCACGCCAGGAGAGCATCATCGTTCTTTCTCCCTCAGAGCCGGCCATGCTCCTCGGAGAACACTCGGAAACGTCCAGAAGGAAAAGGAATCACCACTGACCCAGGGCCGTTTCCTCTCAGCGTGGCCCGTGAGGGTGAATCGGAGGGCCATGAGGTCAAACAGAGGCCCCTGAAAACTAGCGTCCTGTGGAGTGCAAACGAGGACGCTCTGGAGGTCAGAAGCTGTGCTGCCAACCCAAAGGCACACGGTTCAAATCCGCCAGCTGCCCTGTGGGAAGAAGACAGTCTGCGTCCTCCGTGTGACTTACAGCCTCTGAAAAGCTCCAGTTCCGACTGGACAGCACACAGTGACCACAGCGCGGAGTCTGGGAACGTGGTCTCCATGGCCACAGATGTGACAGCTCTGGCCGTCATGGTGCGGGGTCAGTGCTGACCCAGTGACCCCATGTGAGGGTGGAACTGCCCCCTCGGCTGGCCCCAGGCTGTGGCTCTACTGGGGGGAGCCCTGCTGTCACTGAGATAAAGCAGGTGGCTGCAGACAGACAGACAGACAGACAGATAGACATTTCTTGTGCTACCGGGACAGTAGAGGACAGCCACGTGGGCCACGCCTCACACCAAGAAACCTCCTCAGCCAGCTTCCTGCTCGGCCAGACGACGTCCAGGCCAGCTGGTACCCGGAGCCCCTCATCCAGGCTCCAGGGAGCCCCTCTGGGCTAATTCTCAGTGGCCACTGGGAACCCTAGCCCTGAAGCTGACACAGGTGGACGTTACGGAAGTCAGCCAGAGCTACGACTGTGTTTACAAATCAAGTGCTCATAGCAAATCAAACCACCCCCACCCCAGGGATAATCACAGGGCCTGGTGCTTGTCACTTGCCTGTCCGGTGCTGGCAGTGCTGAGTTCAACCATCTTGCACGGTTCGGATAAGGGGGTCCCTTCGACCCTTACCAGTGGGGTGTAAAGGAGGGTCAGGCATCTCCCTCGGTCATTACATAGAACCGGTGACCTGGCCTGGGCCAGTGAGCACTGGAGGGCCCAAGAATGGGGGATTTGCCAGAAAGGGGTTGGTCTCGGCCTCTGTGTGTGACCTGAGGGCTGCAGGGTGGCCGTGAGCGTGGGGACTGGGCACTGGGTGGACAGAGGACGGAGAGCTGGGCAGGAAAGAGCGCGTGGGGACTGAGCACTGGGTGGACAGAGGATGGAGAGCTGGGCAGGAAAGAGCGCGTGGCCTGGTCTGGGACTGGCCCGCCAGTGGAAGCAGCGTGGCCCTGAGGCCTCACCACTGCCCCCGGGTTTCCACAAGGCTGCCTGTCCAGTCTCACTGGCTCATCGAGCCCCTATAATGAAATAAGAGTGCATCAACCGCAGTCTCTCTTTAATTCCGAAGTCACAAATCATTAGACCGGAGCTGGGACATCTCTCTCGAAAGCCAGTGCCGCCCACCGCTACAGGACGGCGTCTAGGTGCGGGGTGCCCCGCTGCGGACCGGGAAGGACGCGCGGACTGTCCGGCCCATCAGAGGCTGCAGTGGACGGTAGTTGTTCTCCATGGGCCTCTCTTCCTCACCAGGTACGGAGAACAGCAGGGTCCGGAACGCCGACAGCTGGGGACACGGCACCGGGAAAGTACCGCAGGTGCTGTGAGCCGGCTCCCACGGGGCCCCAGGAGCCCCTCCCACCCTGGATGGGGTGGCCTGTGCCCCGTGGGATGTGGTGGACTCTTGAGACCAGGTCACAAGAGGCTGATGGTGCTGCCTCCACCATGATCTTCGGAGCAGTGGCACTGGGAGAAGTCGCCCGTAGGCCTGTGAAGGCTCCGGGTAGACAGGACTCCGGGTGGACAGGGTTCCGGGTGGACAGAGCTCCAGGTGGACAGGGCTCTGAGCGGACAGGGTTCCGGGTGGACAGAGCTCCAGGTGGACAGGGCTCGGGGCGGACAGGGCTCGGGGTGGACAGGGCTCTGGGCGGATAGGGTTCCGGGTGGACGGGGCTCGGGGTGGACAGGGCTCCGGGTGGACAGGGCTCGTCGGGGCCAACCTGCTGGCTGCTGAGACTTAGGAGACAGCTCCCTAGTCCCTCTGTGTCTCTGTGTATCTCTGTATGTCTCCTCCATCTGTCTGTCTCTGAATCTGTCCCTCTGTGTCTGTATCTCTGTGTGTTTGTCTTTCTCTCTGTGTGTCTCTCTCTATGGATCTCTGCATGTGTCTCTCTGTCTGTCCCTCTGCGCTCTGTCTGTCTCCATCTATCTTCTGCGAGGCCCCGCCCTTCCAGGAGCAGCTCACCTGGTCAGGTGCCACCTCGATGGGCTGCTTATAGATGATCCACGTGACTGACTCAGCCAGTGGTGGCGTGGTCAGGGAGCCTGTGTACGTCCAGTAGTCCTGGCAGGAGGGCAGCAGGGCGGCAGGCTGGAAGGGGCCCAGGGCCACCCGCGCATCCTGACAGATGAGAGCCGAGAGCCAAGTCAGACCTGGGTCGGAGCGGGCCCTCCTGCTTCCCGCTCACAGGCCACAGTGACAGCGAGGCCACCTGGCCCCAGTTACACTCGGCACACGGCCCTTCCACACAGAGGCCCGAGCCGCACGCTGCGCCTTTGTCAGCCTCCAGGGCAGCTGCTGTGGGAACCATCTAATGATTCCTCAAAAATTAGACATCATCGCCACCTGGCTCAGCCACACCCCATGTGCAGACCCCATCAGGGGGTGCAGACAAGCCTGTTCCCCTGTGTTCACTGCGGCACTGCCCTCAGGGCCAAGCATGGAAACAGCCCAGGTGCCCACCAGGAGATGCAAGTGAGCGGTGGTCCCTTCTGCAAGGCAGCGTCACTGGGGCCCCCACGAATGGAGGTCCTGCCCACCCCACCATGGAGTGGGGAGTGCTGGCGGCCTCGTGGAGAGGAGCTGCACTACCATCTCAAAGGCAGCCGGTTCGAATCCCCGAGCCACTGCATAGAAGATAGACAGGCACTCTCCTCCCGTGTGATTTACCGCCTCTGAACACCCACCAGGGGTCAGCTACGGGTCAGCTCCAACTCAACAGCACAGAACTACCGCACAGATGAACCTTGAAGGCCATGAAATAAGCCACACACAAGAGGGCACACCATGAGGACCCCGGAGAGAGGGACTGCTCGGTGACGGGGTGAGGGCCTGGGCCTGGCAGACACAGTGAGGCAGGCTTGGGACAGCAGGGTGCAGAGCCCTGGGGCACAGGGTCCTGACGCGTTGCAGGCAACTCCTGGCTGGCCCTCCAGAGGGTTTGCTGAGGTTGTGAGCTGTGCAGAGCGGCCTTGCCCATCCTTCTCCGGAGGAGCTGCAGGTGGGTTTGAACCGCCTGCCTTTGGGTTCCCAGCACAACTTACCACAAGGCCACCAGAGCTGCCTTGGAAATGTGGCTGGGATCTTCCTGGTGGTGGGTTGCCTGGTCTCTGTCTCCTTGAGCCTCTCAGTGGGCTCGAACCACCACCCTCTAGTTGTCAGGTGAGTGCTGGGGAGGGGGCGGGAAACAGGGACGCAGGTGGGCAGTGAAAACCTGGCCTGTCTGGAGAGAAGTCTCATGTCTGGGCAAAGGAGCCCCCATGAGTCCTGACGTTGTTGCTGGGCTGCACTGAGCTGGTTCCCACGCAGAGACGCCATGGATGGTAGTGGGGACCCTGCTGGTCCTGTGCCGTCCGCCCTGTGGTTTCCACTCACAGAGACCCCGTGGGTGGCAGCGGGGACCCCGTGCTCCAGCTGCCCTGCGGTCACTGCATCAGTCACCTCGCCGGGGTCCTCCTCTCTCTGCTGGCCGTCTTCTTACTCATCACACATGCGTCCTCCAGGGATGGGTCCCTCCTGCTAACACGCCCGAAGCGTGTGGAACACAGGCACACACTGGCTTCAGAGAAGTTCTCTGGCTCCAGCTCACCCAGGCGACTTGTGCACTCTAGAAGCCACAGTGTATTCCATATTCTTCGGCAACATCTCAATTCAAAAAATCCAGTTCTTCGCTCTCCCTGACTCGCTGTCCAGCTCTCCCCCATGCAGGTGACCAAAGACCATGGCTTGGGTCAGGCGCACCTCAGTCCCCACAGTGGCAGCCTCGTCATGCATGTGTAGCCATGGTAACCCGCACCATCTGGGGATGCCCTGTGCTGAGACAACGCCCGACCCTGTGACACATTTCCTTCCTGTGGGGAGCACCCAGTGTGCCTGCAGACGGACTGGCTCAGCAAGGTCAGGCCACCTCCAGCGATGTCTGACCCAGGGCCTCTGTTACAGGCTACGCTGCAGCATCAGTGGCTGCAGAAACTTCTGGAAGGTCACAATCGTACCCAGCGCTGCTGGACTACAGAGAGGTCTGCAATCCCTCTCCACTGTGACTCAACAAAGCCCCGACTTCTGTCAGGGCTGGGCCACCAGGCCGAGGCACGGTGCCCCTCAGAGAGGAGGAAGGAACCGGGGAGCCCCTCGGAGGGGAGGAAGGAACCGGGGAGCCCCTCAGAGAGGAGGAAGGAACCGGGGAGCCCCTCAGAGAGGAGGAAGGAACCGGGGAGCCCCTCGGAGGGGAGGAGGGAACCAGGGAGCCCCTCAGAAGGGAGGAAGGAACTGGGTGCCCCTCAGAGGGGAGGAAGGAACCGGGGAGCCCCTTAGAGAGGAGGAAGGAACCGGGGAGCCCCTCGGAGGGGAGGAAGGTGAGAGTTGTCGTGCACTGTGGGCGTGTTGTCAGGAAGGCCCAGACCTTGGAAGACATGATGCTGGGAAAAGCGGAGGGTCCAAGAGCGAGGAAGCCCCTCAGTGAGGTGGACGATCAGACACAGTGCCCATACTGTCGGCTCAAGCACGTCAGAGCCGGAAGGTGCAGGGCTGGGCAAGGTTCATCTCTGCCCGTAGGGTCGCGAGTAGCAGCTGCCTTGGCACTTAACAACCACAGCAACAACTGATGTGGAGGAACCTGGCTCCTGGGGTCCACGGCAGGACTCACAGCCCCACTGGACGCCTCCTTCGTGGCCCCTGCTGACATCTGGTGGTGGCCTCAGGGGAGCCCAAGTCAGCTAAGGGAGGGATGCCCCAGATTTCCAAGGGAGGGATCAAGCCCCCTGAGAACCCGCCCTTCCAGCCAGCACTGTGCCACCAGGTGGAGACCAGAGCCCAGGCGGTGGACGTGGCTGGACAGACACCAGGTTTACTGTGGCTGCGAGCCAGTGCGGAAGAGGCTGGGGCGGCTGCACCTCGGCCTTGAGGGGTTCCTGGACATTGAGGTGGCACTGGGGGTGGTGGTCTGGGCCTCCACAAGGCCGTCCAAGGTCAAGGGAAGTGCCCCGCGTGGATCAAACGCAGCCTGCGAGGCCAAGGAAGGGCTGGCGTTTCCACCGAGCCCCCAACCCCACTGCCCACCCATTGTTCGCACAGGCTGCAGCCCATCCGCCCAGGACGGAGCCCAGGCCTCCTCCTTCCTCCGGGCTTGGTCTGTGCACCTCTCCTTGTTTGGTTCTGAGTAAATATGACTTTTCTTTGAAATTTCCAAGCCTTCCTCAAAGTCCTTTGTTTGGGGGGCTGATCCAAAGAGGCTTGTTCATTCTCGCTGGTGGGGGCCGTCGGTGCAGCTGGGGAGAGCTGGGGTGACCACGCCCTCTCTGCCCACGGCCCCTCCTCAATTCCCTGAGAATCATGTTCTGGGGTGTCCTGGACATCAGTGGCTCACCTTTATAGCTTTTGGTGGCCCGCCAGCTGCCCTTTGCCTCATGTACTTCGGCCTTGTTGCCAGGAGAGGCAATCCTTTGGAGAGGGACATGATGCTTGGACAGGAGGGAGGGCCGGTGGGGAAGAGGAGACCCTCACCCAGGTGGACTGACGCGGTGACTCAGTGGTGGGCTCGAGGGGCCCAGAGACTGAGAGGGGGCACAGGGCAGGGCTCAGATCTGTGGCTCACTGGGTCGCTGCATGTCATACTCGACTCAACGGCTCCCAACAACAACCAGTTGAAAGCAATGGAGCCAGGGCCTTGCTAGCAGACGGAGAGACTTCACGCCACGTGTGTCAGGCAGACGACACGCATGTCCCTGGAGAAGGACACTGTGCTTGGAAAAGCAGAGGGACCGAGGAAATGAGGATGACCCCCAAGCAGGATGTCACCGCTACGGGCCACGGTTCAAATCCACTATGTGCTCTATGCACAAGGGGGTCTGCAGCCTCAGATACCGTGGGGGGTCACCACCACAGAGGGTCATCATCACAGAGGGTCACCATCACCATGGGGGTCACCACCACAGAGGGTCACCACCACCATGGGGGTCACCATCACCATGGGGGGTCACCACCATGGGGGGTTTCCTCCGCAGGGGTCACCACCACAGAGGGTCACCACCACCATGGGGTCACCATCACCATGGGGGGTCACCACCATGGGGGGTTTCCTCTGCAGGGGTCACCACCACCATGGGGGGTCATCACGAGTCAGAATCCACTCGGCAGCAGTGGCTTTGGTTTCGTTTGAGTGTTTCCAAAACTGGACTAGTTCTTTCCATGAAATTGCAGGGTATTTTGCTTTGGTAGGTAAGTTATTCACCCAATAAGCCCTGGTTTTAAAAACAAGCTGAAGGTGAAGCAACAACAGCGGGAGGCGTGCATTCCTTGGTCAGAAGAGCAGCATGTGCCGGAGGAGGCGAGGATGGGAGGAAAGGGGGACCACAGGCAGGGGGGAAAGTGCGGGGGGCTTGGGAGTAGGGCTGTGCAGGAATGAATGGCTGACCGAGTGGGAGCCAAGTCACCAGGGGAGAGAGATCTGGAGCTCACCTTGTGCTTTATTTCCGGCAAGGCCTCCACCAGCGTCTGCAGCCCCGCGTGCCTGACGCCCAGCTGCAGGGCACAGACAGACAGGCGGTGGGCCTGGGGAGCGCAGGCCAGGGGAGTGGACAGAGGGCACTGAGCACCCCAGCGTTACCTTGAGGAACACAGCGATGACAGCCAAGCCCTCGGCGCCCAGCGCGGCCTCCCCGTAGCTGCGGTATCTGCCTGCGTCCCAGTGTACCACGTGGAGCTGGAACAGGAGAGGGCTGGGGTCACCCTAGGGGCCCTAAGTCCCCGTGGACACGTCATCATCATTCCGCCACAGCATGACTGGCCACTGACTTGTCTCTGTGATCTCCACAACCCTCCACAAAACAACCCACCCAAACCTCAAGCGCACTGCTGTCAGATCAAGTCCCGAGCCTGGGGACGCTCTATCAGGTCCCCAAGGCTAACAGTCTTACCACCCCCCTGCCATGGAGCAGCTGGTAGATTTGAACCAATCACCTCTTCATTCATAGTTCACTCTGTCACCACTACACCACAGGACTCCTCCTATCTCTGCAGACAAACCCACCCCACAGGCCCCTGCTGTCCAGTGAGTCCTGACTCGGGGGACCCGGCAGGTTGGAGCACAGCTTCCCAACGCTTCCCAAGGCCGTAGATGTTTGTGGAAGCAGGCTGTGCCATCTCCATCCTGAGGAGCAGCTGGTGGGTTTGAACCACTGACCTTTTGCCCAGCAGCCGTGCATTTTAACACAGCACTGCCAGAGCCTGCCCACATTCGTGCAAGGTCGCTCTGGGGAAGCTCCTCCCTGTCGCATCGCAGTCTGGGCACCTGGTATTTGGCCCACACCTGGTCAGTGAGGTGGGCTGGCTGCTCGGCCACAGGGCCAGCACAGAGATGCCACCCAGTATCCACAGTCAGGGGCATTTACGCACCTCTGCCGGGTACACGCAGCTGTCCAGTGCGTGCTCCGAGCCCCACGTGTCCTCTGAGCCCCAATGGAAATGGAACTGCTTCAGTCGGTGGTGGCTTCCCAGAGGCCCACCGCTGATGCCTGCAACAGAGACCAGGAGATGCACCTGACATCACGGGTGACACGTCTGCAGGAACCATCGCTGATGCCTACAGCTGAGCCTGGGAGCTGGGCATGACTCAGGGGTCCTGTGTGACGTCGCGGCTGACACGCCTGCAGCCAAACTCTCCAAGAATCAAACCTTACATGTCTAAATGAAAAACAGTCTCACCTAGCACCCACCCTTACGTACTTGAGCTTAAAAGAAATTGTCAGGGAGGCATATGGAATGTGTCATGCCACAGCCTGCCGGAAGGACACACGGATCTGCCTTGGGAGCGAGCCCGGCGAGGCTTCCCCTCACACACATAGATGTGTCCTCAGGAGGAAGCTGGAGAGGACCTAAGCTTGGTAAAATCGAGCATCAGCAAGATAGAAACAGGCCCTCAATGAGACGGCGGACACAGAGGCGTTACCATGGGCTGGGGCGCCACGGTGGTGTGCAGGTGGGCAGCCGGCAGGGTCCGCAGAGAGCAGGAATTGACTCAATGGCGTCTAATAATAACAGACTATAAGACCAAATGTAGGACTGTAACTGGACACAGAGGAAAAGTCAGGTGGGTGCGGCTAACCTCAGGAGAGACAAGGAACGACAATGTGGCATGAAGAATGTAATCAGTGTCACTGAGATAGGTGACATTGTTACATTGTTTCAATGTGTGTATTTTGAGAAGTTGCCTGAGAAACAATTTGGAAAGAGGTTTTGCTTTATCTTATTTGAACAATTTTTTTTTCCAAAAGGCTACTTCTGCCTCACCCCGCTTTGCCATATGCAAACAAAAGAGGGTGCGGACCGGAAGTCCTGGCGGGCTGGGCTGTCTGCGTGGAGAACTTGGGCTGAGCTAGAGCGACTCCTGGTGGTCAATAGTAGGATGCGCCTTCTTGTTAAGTGCCGTCGAGTCACAGAGCACGGATAGTGACCCTAAGAACCAGAGACCTGAACTCCGGTATAACTTTCAACGTTTCTCCAGGTTCATTGGGTTTCCAGAGGCGAGCTACCTTGGAAGTGGAAGCCACACTTGCTTCCAAGCTTGTGTTAATCTGAGAATTCCACCAAACACTGTCCACCATGGGTAGGATCTGGAATTTTGGTGCATTTCAAGAAGTAAGTTTATTTAAAAGCCCAGCCTTTATAAAAACTAACAGTCAGACTTAGGGCTGGTGGAAACCTTAGACTGTGCTTCCGAGATATCCTTGAATCCTGAACTAAACCCGTGCCCAGGGATCGACCTGCAGCCAGGTATTGCTGTTAGGTGCCAGGGAGCCACTAACTCAGTGTGACCCTGTGGACAGAGAGGGTCACCAGAGCCTTAGACAACAATGGGAAAAAAAATACTAATCATTTCATTTTTGTTCAATCATTCAGAGTCATTTTGTTTTACAACACTAATTATAACTGAAGTAAGAATCTACGCTGCAATCCTGAAGGGAGGCCGTTCGAATCCACCAGCTGCTCTGAGACAGCAGGACGGGCAGTCTCCTCCTGTGCAACTGACCGACTGAAAACCTGCCAGAGGGTCTGCTATGGGCCTAACTCGATGGTATACAACAACCACGTCATTAATTGCAATGTCTATTCCTTAATTCCGGAGCTCTGGTGGCCTCATGGCAAGAAGGTGTGCTGCAATCCCGAAGGCACGCGGTTCGAGGCCACCAGCTGCTCCATGGGAGGACAGGCAATCTCCTTCCATGCAGTTAACTGCCTCTGAAGACCCATCGGAGGGTCAGCTGTGGGTGGGTCCCGACTCCACGCTCCACCCCAAGTCAAGCTGGCCTCACTGTCTGCTGCCCTGGCCCCCCAGCTCATTCCTTCGTGTTGGCTCCTCTGTGCAGCCCCCCACCCCACCCTGTCAGCCCGTCTGTCTTACTCTGTGTGCGAACCTTCCCTTAGCACTCCCTCTGTCTGGGGACGAGGTCAGGCAGCACTGTTTTTCCTGGATGCAGCTGTGTTGTGCAGTATGTCACAAATTCTTGGTGGCTTTCTGGTGATGCATGGGCATTCCACTGTGTGTCACGCCACAGTTTCCACACACGTTGTGACTTTGAGAGCATTCTTCACCACCCGCGGATGGTCGCCACATTTCTCGCTGGTTGCTCTGGCTAAGACCTTCATTACCCCCGTGCGACTTGATTCTTACAGGGACCCTCACGACGAGGGCCTAGGGAGTCACTCCTGCTGTACGGATGCCGTCGCCGGTGCCTGGCTTGCAATGAAAGACCTTCAGCAGGATGGTGAGAGGCACAGCCGGAAGGGGGTGCACAGTGCTGCTTCGTGGGGCTTGTCGTCGACGCCACAGGACAGACAGCGAGTGGACGCTCACCAGAAGAACAATCTGCTCTGTAAACTTCTGCTCAAAAGCATGGTAAAGCGTTTTAAATAAATATTAAAGAATAAAAATAGGTAAGGGTAGGGCAAGACCAGCCTGTGAGGAGGTAGCCTCAGCCGGCCCGCCTGGCCCCCCAGAGTCTGTGGCTGGGGGTGTTGGTGGGTGGCAGTTCCTGTTTTGTCCCTGGACAGGTGGCCTGGGACAGCGTGTGCAGATGTAACTGAAGATTTCTCTGTGAGCTCCGAGCCCAGCACACCAGGCGGCCTCAGGCCACGACCTCTGCTCTGCTCCTTCCTGTCTATGGCCAGGCCTTGTGGGGGGAGAGGCTGCCGGCAGGCACTGTGGTGTCGGGATTAAAATGAGGACAAAAGAAATCAAATATAGTTGAGACAGTCAAAGCTGCAAATAGCCAGATGGCAGGTCCATTCCCGGGGTGTGCCCCAAAGCCGTGACGCCGAAGAGAGGGCCTGTCCCCGTGATGCCCTCCGGGGAGTGAGGGTATGCACATATGCAGGACGGAATGCAGCTGTCCCATGTCTTCTGCACGGGACATTGGCTGGCTGGCCTTGGCAGGCCAGGCCCTGGCACCATATCACTGTTGTCAGCTATTCAGGCCCTGCCTGCCATTGGGGGTGTGGGGACTCAGAGGGTAACCCCTTAACAAAGCAATTGCGTCACCTCCGGGAGCTGCCAGCCAAGCTCATGCCCCAGTGCATGCCAGGCAGCAGGTGGTGGTGTCACCTTGCCTGGGCTAGGGGGCAGCAAGGCCCTGGGCCCTGCGAGGGGCTCCAGGAGAACGTTCAAGAACATCACATCCAGCTCCCGCCCACACCACACTTCGGGTCGCTTCCACGTCCAGACACAGGGCAGAGCGGAGCCATGGGGCCCAGGGTCAGCAGGCCCCCATCTGTACAGGTGTTCTCAGCTTTCTTCACACAGAGACCAGTGGGCTTGAACCAGTGACCTTCAGTGCACAGATAAGCACTTAAACCACTGCACCCCCAGCCCCCAAACCAAGCCCACTGTCATCAGGTGGATTCTGACTCACAGCGGCCCTCAGAGTGGGGCTGCGAAGGCAAGTGTCAGCAGTTCGAATCCGCCAGAAGCTGTGAGGGAGGCGGGTGGGCAGTGTCCTCACGAAGGTATTTACAGCCTCCAGGCCCAAGGGAGCGGTCGCCCCTGATGGCAGTGGGTTGGTGGCAGGACAGAGCAGAATTGACCCTGGGTCCTCAAGGCCGCGGGTCCGGTCTCGCTGGCAGAGCTGTCAGTGGCCTTGAACTGCCAGCCTTTAGGTCAACAGCCTGGTGTCTGGGACCAGCCGACCTGGGTTCGAGTCCTGGTTTGGGGAGGTGACCCTAACGGGATACTCTGCTCCCCCGGGTCTCAGACCTGCTGTTTGCTGCTCTGACAGGACACCACCCGGCCTCCTCCCCTGGGGTGGTCAGTGCGTTTGGCCTTTGACCTTTGGTTAGCAGTCCAACAAGCAGGGCTCTGCACCACCAGGCCCGAGCCACCTCACTGTTGGGTCAGAAGTGCCCCAGTCCTGGCCCTACAGCAGGTTCTCAAAGGCTGGGAATCCCGTGGGAGGAGACTGGCCAGCCCTCTCCCCCGAGCAGCGGGGTGGACTGGAACTGCCCGCCTCTGGGCCGGCAGCACAGCTCCTTCCCGCTGGGCCACCAGAGCTCCCCGAGAGGCGTCAGAGGAGAGCTGGGGTCCCCGTGTCTGAGAGGAGTCCTGGGAGGAAGGACAAGACGGGGTGCTGAGTGTGGGGTTCTGAGGCCCGGCTCCTGGCCTGGCGCCACCACCTGCTCCCTGCTCCCACCCTCCCCACTCTGCCAGGCCTGACCTCCTGGCAGGAGCTGGGGACCCTCAGACACCAGCCAGGCCGCTTTCCGGCTCACCGAGATCACTGGACCTGCCTCAGGCCGTTGCTTTGCTGCCCCAGGGCTGAGCAGAGCACATGACCACCACGGTCACTCGCCCATCACCACTGGGGCCAGTGTGGCCCTGGCCTGCTTTCCCTCAGTGACACCCTGTCCCTTTCACAAGAGAGTCATGGCCCCCCAAAGTCACAGCAACATTCTGGCTCTGGGGCTCTGGGAACATCATCGTGCTTGGAAACCGGGTCCCAACCGTAACTGCTCAACGTCCTGATGTGGGGGGCCCTGATCCAACATGGTTGGTATTCTGAGAAGGAGTAGAGTCACAGAGGGAAGACGGCCACATGAGGATGGGGACAATGATGACAGTGGTGTGGCCACAACCCAGGATGCCTGGAGCCACCTGAGCGGGAGAGGAGAGCGCTCCGGCCCTGCACCCCCAGAGCTGACAGAGGAGACCCCCTCCTCTGCTGTCTGCTGTGTGTGGACCTGAGCGTCTCCCTTCTTCACTGGGGGTCCCTCCTGGGCGGCGCCCAAGGCAGGACACCCGACCACCCATCTCACCTGAGCCCTCGGCCGAGTCGTCAAAGTCCACCTGGAAGAGGTAGCCCGTGTTCCACATGTATCGGCAGGTGGCCGCGTCGTAGGACACGTGGAGAGGCTGCAGCCCAGGGTCGTAGACGCTGTCTCTCCACTTGATGTCGATGGGGGACTGCCGGGTGCCCCCTGGGGCCAATGGGGGGTCCTTCCAGAGAGGATGCACTGGGGATAGAGAGAGGACGCTGACAGGAGGACCAGCACCTCCCGGCTTCTGAGCGAGATGCAAACACCGGGACCCAGAGGGGCCCTGAGCGCGGAGCGGTGGACACGACCCTGGTGGGCTTTGCCCAAACCCCTCAGTCCAAGCCCGTGGGGGGTGCCCAGCCCTCTTCTCCGGAGTCACACGGCCATCACTGACTGTCCTCTTGTCACCGACTCAGTAAGGGTCTCTGTGTCAGTCCAGGGACGGGGGCCTACTGCTCAGGGTGGGCCTGCAGTGGACCTGTGGGGTGCAAGTGAGCGCCTGGACAGCCAGCTGGCAGAGGAGAGAGGGTCATCTGAGGGCTGGGGGGTGGTCACCGTCCCCTGGACATGAGCCCTGACCTGGCGTCCGTGTCCAGCTGGTGCTGACTCAGCGGTCCTGGTCAAGCCCTCGTTGGTTCACAGTGTCTGTCCCTCTCCGAGGGGCTTCCTCTCGTCCGTGGACCCTCTGCTCTGCCAAGCAGTCTCTCCTCCAGGGACTCAATCCCCTGACAACGTGCCCAGTGCGCCTGAGACAAGGTGTTGTTTCCCTTGCTTCTAAGCAGAAGTCGCTGTGCTGCTTCCACGTCCGCTGTGACCAGTCTCGGCCACCCACTTCCACCAGAGCCGTTCTGAGTGCTGTTCTCCAGCCTCCACTGTGGGGGTGGGGGGTTGGGTGGACTCCAGCAGCAAGAAAACGTACCCACACAGTCCCCCCTCTTGGGAAATGTCATCTCCAAACACCTGTGTGTGATTCCCCCACTGCGCTTTTATGTTTTCATGTTTAACTTCTTCCTGAGATCGTTGGCTCTCACTCAGGCAACCGCGCCGTGGGACGTGAGCGCGCCCCAAGACGGCGCAGCACTCATCCACGTCCTCCCTGTGGTTCCCGTGGCCCTGCGCCCTGTCAGCTCCCGACTTCCAGCCTCTGTCCCCGGCCACGTGCTGCCTTTGCTCTCTGATGACTGGTCGCTGTGATGTGTGTTCCTCCTGATCTCCTTACAGACCTGTGGAGTGTCGGGGTGTGGATCCACGGGGGGCTTGGGTGCGATTCTGGAAGGAAGACTCAGTGATTGAAATTATTTCAGAAAACATGGGAGAGTGTCTGAGAACCAGGGCCTGGCCGCCTTCGGGCGCCTGGTGCCCTGAGGTGCCTGGTGCCAGCCCTCAGCCTGTGTCTGCAAGCTGTTGTCTGGGGATGCCTGTACCCAGAGACCTCGGGTTTGCTTCATCTTATTGTTTTAACCAATGGAAATCTACCCTCCTCACAGACTGAGAGGCTGGAAGTCTGAAGTCAGGGCTCGGGGAGCGGCCTGCCCCCCTCAATGTCTGAGGACCCGGCACTCCAGGGAGGGCACCAAGTCTTAGCCTCAGCCTCCCGCCCCGGGTCTGGAAGGTTCCCACCACAGGGGCTCTGAGTCCTGGGGACACACTGCGCCTCGGTTCTTCTTTCTCTCCAGATTTGATGGGCACGCCCAGGGATCTGTTCTGCACGCGTAAGGACATACAGAATGCTGACCAGTGACGGCAGGTCTCCTCGCTCACTGTCCCTCCCTTAAAGTGAATTATCGTGTAACAGACACGCAGGCGAGCATCAACTTTGTTCTTTCTTTGCCAACAGTAAACATGGCTGTGCTGAACTTTGTTACTTCGCCAAGTCAACTTTCTAGCCACAGCCCAGTTGGGTCCAAGGGCATTTCCTGAACATTCTAGAGAACCACCAGTGATGGTGAAGGGCAGTGCTGGGATGCTGACCCGTCCTCCTCCCACCCCTAAGGCGATGGGCGGTGAGCTTCGTGTCTTGGTCTTTGATGGGGCCCATCAATCTTCCTGCTTCATAAGGTCCACCCCCTGTCCGGCTCAGCCTCACAGGCGCTGTCAGCCGCCCTCAGGGTGCGTAACCAGAGGCAGCAGCTTTAACTGGGACAGGAGGTCCCACTGCCACGGCAAAGCCGGGTGCCTGATGCACGGAGCTCCAGGGGTCCGGGAGGGTCCTAGGTCACACCCGCACAGACACCGGGGGGGCCAGCTGTGCGAGGTCTCCCCCTCCTGTGAGAGCAGGGTCCGGGAGGGTCCAAGGTCGCACACAGACACGGGGGCCAGCTGTGCAAGGTCTCCCCCTCCTGTGAGAGCACGTCGCTCGCCGTGACCAGGATGTGACGGCAGTGGGAGCTCCGTTCTTGTGGTCTTCACAGCATTTTAAAAAACAGGACTTGAGTGAGGTTTATAAAGCAAAGTGGGTCTGTTTAGGACATCAAGGAGCACCCCCACACCCAGCACGCCCCTCCCGCGGCTTCCCCAGGCTTCCCTTTCGTTATGACGCTGCACTCTTGTCCTGTCGTGTCCCTGCACCCACCTGGACACGCGACCGTGTCTACATGGGCAGGATCCTTCTACTGACGTCATCCAGTGACCAGCTCTTCCTCCCACCAGCCCTCTGGTAGGGAGCTGTGCTGCTGGCCCAAGGCGGTGCCTTTGACAGTTCGAATCCACCAGCAGCTCCAAGGGAGAAAGATGGGCCCTCTCCTCCCTGGTCGGTGCCAATTTGGGAGCCCAGTGAAGGCTCAGCTATTGAGTAGGTTCGAATTCGAGTTTAAGTTCTCCCTCCATTAAAGAGTGCTGGTGGTGTGACACAGTCTATGCTGCATTGCTCACCAAAGGGTCAGCGGTTCAAATCCACCAGCAGCTCCGAGGCAGACAGATGGGCGGTCTCCTCTTGTAAATATTTACAGGCTCAGAGACCCAGTGAAGAGCCCCTGTGAGGGCGTGTCCACCGAGCAGTTAATGTTTCACTCCCTCCCTTCCCATCCCCCATCATCATCCAGGAACGATCCTTTCTGTGTGAAAGCGTTCTCTGCTTTTGTACAATACTGAATGAATGAAATATTTACTTTTTATGAATGTCCTCTCTTCATCCATGTTATGCAGGGTTTCCAGAATTCCTTACTCTTCACTGTTACGTAGTATTCCGTTGTGGATGTACAACAGCTGTTCATCCATCCATCCATCCATCCATCCATCCATCCATCCATCCATCCATCTGTGGACCTGCTCATTTCTAACACGTCTCCTCCGAGGCGGTGGCTACCCGAGCGGGTTCAGGAAGGAGAGGACAGTGTGGGCTCCAAGACCAGCAATGCCCACTGCTGTCAGGGAAAGCTCCGTGTTGCCGGGAGTCGAGCAGATGTCACGGCAGCTCCAAGACTAAGGGAGCCTCAAAACAAAGAGCAGGAGAACCACTTGGAAAAGCGGCTCGTGCAAACTCACAGCTCGTCCGTCTGAGCTGCTGCTCTTCTCGGTGGGACTGGCAGGGGTTTGTCACGCTGCACACAGACAGGAGGGACTTGCTCAGGGTCCTGGACTGGACGACACAGCCCGGTGAAGCAGGCACGGCCCGGTCAGGCAGGCACGGCCTGGTGAGGCAGGCACGTGGCCGTCGCTGGGTGTAGCAGGGCTTCTGCTCAGGAGACACGCGTTGGGGGGAAGCTTCTTTGCTGTGTCTGGAGCTGTAACCACCAGTTCACAGGACTGTCCCTGTATAATCACCCTTTGATAAAGGCCACTTGGTGGTCTTGACGGGGTGCTTGGTGGACAACCGGGGATGGATCATTGCTGCATCCTGTGCACACACATACACACATACACACACAATACATGGTCTGGACACATGGCGTCCGGCGTCTCGTACCCACACATGGAGGGGTCTGGGGAAGCCAGGGGTGTACTCACAGGTGTGCCTCCGGTCCCGCAGGGCACAGGAGTGCTGAGCGCAGCATGGAGCCAGCCTCACCAGGTGACAGGGGGACATCCCCCTTGACCACTTGCCAAAGAACGAGGGACACGAGGGCCCCAGGCTCCTCCCCAACCTGGCGGTCTTCAGCATCTTGACCCTGCTCCCCAGTGGAGCCTGGCTCCTCGCAGACCCCAACACAAAGAGGGGTGGTCTTTACTAGAGCTGCTCACACGCTGATCAAGGCAACTTTTGACAGAAAGTGACCCAAACCCTGGAGCCTGGGGGTTAAACTTCAACTACCTACAGTGACTTCAGTGACAACATCAGGCTGGGGGGTGGGGGTGGGCGGGACAGTGTCCTGTGCTGGGGGTGGGGGCACTCCCCCAGGCCATTGTGCTTTGATCCAGTCCACCGTGGAGTCCAGGCACCAGGCGGCTGGCAGGTTTCGATGGTGGGAAGGCTGCCCACCACGTCAAGAGATGTGTAGTTGGAGAGCAAAGTCCCCTGCTGGGTTGTGGCTCTCCTGCCCAGGACGGCTCAGGGGCAGCACAGAGCTGTGTGTGCAGCTCGGGATCTAGTCCAGGAGCCTCCCATCTGGGTGGAGAGAGTGAGCAGCAGAGTTGGTGGTTCAAACCCACCCCGAGGGGACTTGCAAACAAAGCAAGTGGTGGTGGCCCCCTTCCGAGAAATCGGCCACAGACAAGCCCCGGAGCCGTCCCACCTATCACGAGTCTCCACGCTGCCGCGTTTGAGGACTTCCCCGGTGCAAGGTCTGCTACCAACTATACTGACTGTGGAGCCAAGTAAGAGGAGGTCACCGAGCCGGTGAGGAGCAGAGGGGCCCTCTCCTCCGGCCTGGCCCTCCTCACGCTCCCCTGTGCTTGGCTCCTCATTGGAGTCGCTGTCACCCCCCTTGTGGAGGACCCTCCTCACTTTCATTCACACCAAGGACGGGCCCCCGACAACACGCCCAAAGTATATGAGATGTCACTTACCACCCTTGCTTCTACGTGGTGCCTGGTTTCACTTCCTCCGAGACAGACCCATCTTGTTCTTCTAGCTGTTCACGGCCTAGTCAATGCCCTTCACCAATGCCAACCCAAGGGCATCGGTTCTTCTGTCGTCTTCCTCACTCACTGTACCACGTTCACACACATATGAAGCAGCTGAGAACACCACGGCGTGAGTTGGATGGAAACAACCTAAACACCCGTCCACAGAGGAATGGGGTCACCAACGCAGTCCACAGCCCACAAGACGTGGGCTGCCACTCAGACAGCAGAGGTGGCGTCATGGTAACTGAAGCTGGAAGACACGACGCACAGTGAAATAAATCCGTCACAGAAAGGTAACAGAGTGTGCCACTGATTTGAGAAAGACTTACCTGCGTCATGCAGATGGCACGATCTTGCTTGCTGAAATGGAGGAGGACCTGAGGCATTTGCTGCAGAAGGTCGAGAACCTTCAATATGGATTGAAGCTCAATATCAAGAAAACAAAGAGTCTCACCACTGGGCCAATTGGCAGCATCATGATAGATGGAGAAGAGATTGAGACTGTTAACAGCTTCAGTTTGCTTGGCTCCCCAATCAACACTCTTGGTATTAGCCACCAGGAAATAAAAAGATGAATTACATTGGGAAAATCTGCTGTCAGTGACCTCTCCAGAGCACTGATGATACCGAAGAGCAATGATATCACTCTAGAGACTAAGGTATGTCTGATCCAGGCCATAGTCTTCACAATCCCTTGCTATATATACATCAGAAGGCTGGACAATGACTAAGGATGATAGAAGAATAGTTGATGCCTTTGAGCTGTTATGCTGGAGAAGAGTATTGACTACACCATGGACTGCTAGGAGAACAAATAGGTTCATCCTAGAGAGGGTGAAACCAGTACGGTTCTTGGGGGCAAGGATTTTGAAGCTCTGTCTGAATACTTTGGACATGTTGCAAAGAGGCACCAGTCCTTGGAGAGGGACATCATGCTTGGAAGGTCGGAGGGACAGCGCAGGTGAGGAAGACCCTTGATGAGACGGATTGATTCAGTGACTGGGGTAATGGGGGTAGGTGTGTCAGAGACCTTAAAGTTGGCTCAGGATAGAGCAGAATTCAGAGCTATTGTACATAGGGTCACTATGGGTCGCAAGTGACTCAAAGGCACTTAACAATAACAAAGTTTATTAGTGGTAAGGGAGAAAAGGTAGGATTAACAGGGATGGGGAAAATCACGTTGATTAAGGGATGGAGCTGATGATAGTAAGTGCTGTCAGCAAGTTCTTCTCATGTAAAACGCTGAACTGGAAGAAGTTGAGTGTAATTTGCAGCAGTAACAAAACCCCGGAGTGGGTGCTGGGGCTACTTATGTACAACTGAACACGTCACGGGATTTGCTTTCTTGATTTAGAGGTGCAGGGTCATAATTTCATGGAGCAGTTCACTCTTTGGCCTAATAATGCTCTGATGGCAAGAAGCTGTGCTGCAATCTGAAGGCTTATGGTTCGAATCCACCAGCTGCTCCATGGGAGAAGGATGGGCTGTCTCTTCCCTGCAACTAGCTGCTTCTGAAAACCCACGGGAGGGTCAGGTATGGGTTGGTTCCGACTTGACAAAACTCAGTAACGCTATCAGAAGCACTAAAAGCATTATTACACACAGTTCTTCATGCAGAGCCTTGGGGCTTACAAGCAGCCATGCAAGACACAACAGCCAGTCTCTTCTGACTAAAGCAAAGAGGAAGGAGAGCCTGGAGCAGGAGGAGGATACGGACTGTGGTCTTATCTCCTTGGCCACGACAGAATAGGCGGTGATATCACTAGATGGTTCCCACAACTGTGACTAAAGAGCTTGATCAAAGATTCCACAGAGGGATTCGGGTCAAAAGGGAGGAAATGTAGAACACAACTTAAAAATTATGCTAGGTTCTAGACCATCCAGAGCCATGGAGGCTGCATGAACTCCAGGAGCTACGGTCTTGAGATAATCTGTAAACCTCAAATTCCCTGAAGCAGTAAAACCTTGAACAGAATGATCTTTTGAGAACTAGTTGTATGGGATCAAACTGACAGTATCAATTTGGGATATGAGATCAGGAGCTTAGGGTCCAGTGGTTTGACATCAGTGGGGGAGAAACAGCTCAGAAGAGGGTGACAAAGTTGCAGAACTCGACGCTAGGAATGTCATCAGTGCCAGTAAAAACACATAAAACACCTAAGTGCAGAAAGACTATGGGATGGATATGTATTTTTTTTTATGTGTATGTTCTCAACAATGAAAGAAAGAAAATGTACAAGAATATCCACTGGGCTCAATCACTCATTCCCTCATTCATCCACTTACTCACCTAATCCACTCCCTCCCTCCCTCCACTCGCTCAGGCCTGCTGCAGCACAGACCTGCACACCTCAGCACAGTGCTCCACCCTCCTCAAAGGGCTGACTCCTGAGGTCCGACCCTGCAGGCTGCCCCCGGGTGGGCACAGGGCTGACTCCTGGGGTCCACGCTGCAGCCTGCCCCCAGCGTGCCCTGATGTTCGACACCCTCTAACCAATCTTGGTTTTCAAACTCCCTTCACCTCCTCCCCGTCCTGTGGCCATGTTGGGGGCCTTTTCTCATCTTCCTGTGTCTCTTCCTCGTTTCGAAAGAGAAGAGACCTCTAATTAGAGATGAGCTCAGTATCTAATTACTGTCTAGTGTCTTGTTCAGTATCTTCCCCAGTGCTCACTTTCTGCCCTTCTTCTTTGGAATTCTTGAAGGGCCTGTAGCTGCAGTGCGGCCCCCGAATGCTAATGGTGCTGGAGATGCTCGCCCACACAGGGCGCCCAACACCTCCAGCCAGTTATGGCCCAAACTGCCATTTTACTGTGAGCAGAAGGGAAGTCGGCAGGAAACCCAAGGTAAAGGATTTTATTTTCGTAATGAAAATAGCTTCTTCATCGTGTGTTTGGAAGCTCAAAGCAATTGTTGCTCATTGTTGAAACCCCAGGAAATAGAGGTAGGAACGAGGGAGCCACTGAGAATCCGTAGTGATCTCCACACGTGTGGAGAATCCTGACCTACACTTTGGGAAGTTGCTTGGAATCCGGGACTCCTTTATTATTTTTTCTTTTGAGTGCCCAGAAACGCATATTTTGTGATATAAAGTGCAAAATAGCCATAGTCCATTTAGGTTCATTTAATATTTTTAACTTTGACATTAATATCTATAACATGGTATGTAACACAGGATGTAAATGGGAACTCGTAGGAGGTACGCGTGATTAACACAGCCAGCTGCTGAGAGACAGGGTAGGGATCCAAGTGTATTTAAGGTGCCTCAGAAGAAGGCTTGAGAACCTTTAAACCTTACACTTGAACACATCCCCTGAAGTCATCTCGTAAACCAGAGGATGGCTCAGCTTCCCTAGTGAACCGGGTCCGGGGCACCACGCTCCTGTGGAGAATGCTTTATGTGACCAGGCCTGGCACGGTGGGCGTACGTGGTGGGTGATTTGGGCAAGGACAGAATGGTTACCAACAAGGAACGGAATTAACGTCACCCCAATCTGAACCTGGCATGCACACGCTGTTGAATGCTTTGCGATGTATTCTTTTTTGCCCAAAAAGTAATGAAAACCACCCCAAACCTATGGAGTGTTGTCCGGTGGCCCCCACTGGGCTGCATGGCTGGGATGGCTCTGTGCTAACAGCTGGTCATCACAGCAGTGCCATCAATGTTCCATCGTGGTCGAGGCTTCTGGAGGGACAGCTGGGACCTTCCACTCACTGCCAACAGTCAATGTGACTCCAGCGACCCCGTAGATAGAGTACAAGTCTGCGGCCCTGCAATCTGGACAGCTGCTCCAAGGTAGCCCTGCTCTGCGAGTTCTAACCCACTAGAAGCTCCGGGGGAGAAAGCAGAGCAATCTCTTCCCCTGCAATTAACACTCTGAAATCCGGCTGGAGTCTGTTTTCACTGGATGGGGAAGAGTGTGGATTTTTATGGAAGTCCGCTGAACGACTTGCAGAATGACTGTTAACGTAGCCACTCAGCTGACCGTCCTGCCTAGCCTTCCTCCTGCAGAGCAGCTGGTGGATTCGAACCCCGCTCCATGCTTTAGCCACGGCGCCACCAAAGTCGAACCCACTGCCGCTGACCCGATTCCCACGCTGACCCTGAAATACGGTGGAACGGCTGCGGAAGCAGACCGCCTCCGCTTTCTCTGCAGGTGGTGGGCTCCAACCGCTGACCAAACCCGAACCCACTGCTGGGAGTCATCGGACCTCCGCGCCGCACGGGTTTTCTTCCCCAGGCTGCCATCTTCACGGAAGGGGAAGGCCTCATTTTTATCCGCACACTTTCCCAACGCTGACCTTCCAAGACATCCTTGAACACCGTTTATTGGAAAAATCCACCAAAAGATTCAGAAGCTTCAGCTCCAGAAGAACAGCAACAAGCCGGACCCATGACAGCTCCCCCGCCAACTACAAGTCCCAGCAGGCCACGCGCGGGCAGCGGACAAGGTGACCGGAGTACGAAGAGACTACAAGTTCCGGCAGGCACGCGGCAGACAGGGGGACTACAAGTCCCAGAATGCTCGGGCTCGCGCACGGCACCCTGGGATATGTAGTTGCCCGAGGGACTACTTCCTATCCATAGGCTCTTGAATAGAAAATAAAGGCCTCAAGCACTCCGTTTAGGTGGATTTTCATGAGATGACCATGTGCACAGTCCCAGAGACGCCTAGGATTCCACAATCCCCGCGCGGTAGAGAGCCGTCCGCGCATGCTCACCCGCGCCCCGAGCGGGCGACCGGGCGCGGGAGGAAAGTCGTCGGGCAGCCTCGCCCCCGGGCCCCGCCCCCCGCCCTCAGCGCGCCCTCTGCGCCTGCGTGAAGAGCACGGGCTGCGGGCTGCGGGGAAGGCCGCGTCGCGCCTGCGCAGATCGTCGGCTTCTCTCGCGAGGACGGACGCCATTATCGCATCTCCCCGACAAACACCACGAGAATTCCGCAGCCCACACGGTAATTGCAGCTCCCGCAGTCGGTCTCGTCTCCGCCTCCCCCTTCCCGCGGGGCGAGAGCGAGCGCGAGATCTCCCTCCTGTCCCGCCCGCCGCCGTCGTCTCCGCCGCGGCCTCCGCTCCGCCATCCGCTCCCCGCCGCCAACGGTCCCCGCCGCCCTGCCCGCTGCGCTCGGCCCGGTACCGCCGCCGGGACCGCCCGGCCCGGGACCATCACCCGGGACCTCCTGGCCCGGGATCGCTGGTACCGCCTGGCCCGCTCTGTGCACGGCCCGGGACCATCACCCGGGACCTCCTGGCCCGG